ACTATGACATACACTGACCACCAGGGGACAAACGCTCAATGCAGGAGCTGCCCCCAGAGGGAGGCAACCATCGCCCTGCAGAGGGAAGCAACCAGCGAGCAGGTGGCACCAGGCCAGCCAAGGCGGGTGCCAGCGGGGGACCCACCAGGTGCCCCACAGATAGGCCCTGATCGCTGGCCAGGCCTAAGGACCCTACCCGTGCACTAATTTCGTGCACAGGGCCTCTAGTTTATATAGAAGTTATGATGTATTTATTGCCAGTTGTTAAGCAGTAAAGTGTAATAAAAAAAAAAAAGCTTTTAGATTAGGAAAGCTGAGTTTGAACTCCAACTCCATCACTTCTAAGCCAGGTCACTATGGACAAATTACTTAATCTAAACCTCCGTTGCCACACCTATAAAATAAGGGAAAGTGAAGGACCTCTTTGATTGTAGTCTTTATCAAATGAGACAATGGTGGCAAGGAGCCTGGCACAGACCAGGCTTCTAAGCTGTTAATAAATGTTGGTTCCTGACTGTCGAATCTTAGTGGAAGGCATGGGAAGAGATCAACCAAATAACTTATATGTGTATATGCATAACCCATGGACACAAACAATAGGGTGGTGAAGGCCTAGGGCAGGCTAGAAGGGGGTCAATGTAATACTTTCAACAATAGAGATTTTATTTTTTAATGAAGGGTCCCGGGTTCGATTTCAGTCAAGGGCACATGCCTGGGTTGTGGACTCCACCCTTAGCAGGGGAAGTGCAAGAGGCAGCTGATCAATGATTCTCTCACATCAGTTTCTCTCTCTCTCTCTCTACCCTCTCCCTTCCTCTCTGAAATCAACAAAAACATATGTTTTTTTAAATGTCAGTTCCTTTCCACTAAGAGAGTGCAACTAAAAGTTCAAGGTCCTGTGGACGAAAGGGACCACATGCTACCCTGACCAGCTCAGGGAAGGCCTGCATGGCGGTCTTGCAAACTCACGGACCTAGGGCAGGGGTGGGCAACCCCTGGCACGCCAGTAACTTTTGCTGGCACGCGAAACCCTCTCTTATAATCTTCCATTTACAATTTTTTTTCTTAATATTGACTTTTTTATTTTTCAGATAAATTCAGTGTAAGTGCATCTTAGATAAATAATTTTACATAACAAGTTATCTTAAAGACCATACACATGGATTGACGCAAGAGGGGAAGAGCAATTTCTATGCCTCTGCCTTAACTCTCCCTGCCTCCCTAGATCCGACCAGTGTTTTGGTTTCATCCACATACGCTTGTGAATCTTTGTTCTCAGTGATGAATTTTGTTAAGTCTCGTAATAGGAGTAGTCTGTCGAATGAAAGTAGTAGCTCGTGCATATCTCTGAAGGTCACGAAATATAAACCTGATGTAAAATCTCTGTCATCAGTGATGCAGCAGCAAAAGTCCCACTGATAATATCAAACGGAGTCATAAAGTTTTCTGTCGGACTATCAGTGTACATGTATACATTTAAAAATAAATGTATTTTTCATCATCATATACTGTGTTTTTGTCACTTGAATGAATTTTGTTATTTCTTCAAGGTTCTTCACATACGTACACCTTAAGAGATATGAAGTAGGTGTAACATGTTCTCAAAAAATTAGGGCTGGCACGCAGAAGAATTTTGAGTCAGAGATTTTGCTGGTTTTGGCACGCACTCACAAAAACGTTGCCCACCCCTGACCTAGGGTGACCACAAAGGATGGTCTGAAATTAAACTTTAACTAAGGGCAGTTATGGTGGGTAGTCAACTCCTAGGCGGGTATGGTCCCTGATAAGGTCAATTTTTACCTTGACTGAGCTTATTGTCTTTTTGCATCTACAATAACATATCATTGAAATGTCAAGGTAACTTGTAATTTTCCTTTTTTCTGGACCCCTCAGGGTACAACCAAATGATCTGGGTGCCAGGACAGAAACCATAAATCCCTTCCTTGTTATTGTTATCATGTTAATTGTTGACTGTCCTGTACCCATCTAAGTAATGTGTCTATCATTTTACTTTTTATCCATCCCAGAGGTTTGCATGCTTTGCTTTCTCCCACCTCCCTAATGTACCACCAATAGATTTCCTATAACCCACCTATGTCTCCTCCTTTGATTGAAAAGTATAAAATTGGGTAAAAAAAAATTTTTTTTTAAAGTCATTCTCTGGAGCATCATCCCAATCTGTTGAGATTCTGCTTCCCAGCAATTTTCGACAGTTTGGCTCAAATAAACTCACAAAAATTCTTTACAGGTTTAAATGTTTTTACATTAACAGTCCCATATTCTACATTTGAGAGGGAAGACTTACCACTCTTCTAAAACCTTGACCACACCCTAAACCCCAGCCAGCCATCTTGAAGATGAACCAGGTCATAAAGATTTAACAAAAGAAAAAAAAAAAAGCGAGTCATTTCAATGCAATCTCATCACCACAGTTGAAAACAGTTTAAAATACCTGCCCTGCTCACAGCACCAGTTTGGTATATGAAAAACAACACCTGAGCAGGGCGCAGAATGAATATAATGTGAATAATGACCCTTTGGAATGTGGGCTCATGACGAGGATGAACTGAGTCAATGAATTGCCTGCCATGCGCTATACATAGAAAGAGCAGCAATGAGGTTAACCAACTACTCTACTTTGAAAGCACAAGAGAAGAAATGTATAAGAACTCAAGGTGATCTACGAGAGACCACAAAGTGTCCGAATGTAAAATCTTTAAGAGCTACCGGTCTGGTGACAGCAGCCTCTATTTATCATGGACGATATCCTCATATATTTTCATTTTGTTAAAAAGATGAAACTCTGCCTGGCCTAACTCCCTCTTTTAGATGGAAAGATCACTCACTGTCTTGCCTGATTTCACCCTGAGATGTATGTTTGAATTTTTAGTAACATAAGTGTATTATTTTCTAACTAAATGAATGTCACCTACCCTGTCGGTGACAGAAGTTCCCACCAATAGAGTAACAATGCAAAGACAAAAGCTTTGGAAATATCTCTGTTGACAACTGCTCACCTAATCGCAGAATTAAAGGAAATGGATTTAAGGAGGGGGGAAAAAACACACCTTAAGATTTTTTTAAAAAAACAAACCAAAAACTGTTCTAGGTTCTGCTGAGAGTAAAATTACCAGGTATTTAACTACCCCTTTGTGTTCAGGCCAACTAATTTGTTGAACATAATTTTAGATTGATCTTATATTCGTGAATTAAGATGCTCGCATGATTTTAATATTCTGTTGATCTTGATAGATGTTTTTCTATCTCCTCCACTACCATTACATTTGTCCTTATATGGTCACAAAAAAAGTTAGACCTTCCTCAAGGACTGGATAGATAGAATGAAGAGCCACAGTTCAAATATACAGAATCTTTAACTGGTCTGTATGCTGTATTGGTATGATAACAACTGCTTGGTGAAAAGTCAAGTATGTACAAACTTCTAAACCAGGGACAATTTAGAGAATGTCAAGGGGGAAAAAAAAAGTAAAGGACCATTAAAAAACACAGATTCTTTGTCTTAAGAGAAACTCCTATTAGAATTAATAGTAAAGAAAAAAGGGAGGAGGATACTTAAAAACTACATAAAACAAAGTGCCCCTAAGGGTAACGCATAGTTCCTGCCTGAATAAAAGAAACTGTTCAATAGTCTCCTAATGTAAGATTACGCTCCTGATGTAGTTGAGACAACAGAGACAGTAACCCAGAATGGGCAATCCTGACTTTGCAAACAGCCAAGTAGCACAATCAACAAAATTATTTGCTTCCTTTCCTACCTGACCCTTAACCCACCACTTGCGTGCCCCATCCCTAGGGAACTTTTGTCACAAAGTAAATACAGGGTGAAGCAAAAGGCTTACAGTTTTGGGTACAGAAAACACAGTTTATTTCTGTATTGTTATTATTAAATATTGTCTTATTTTCCATATGAGCAACTGTAAGCCTACTCTTGCTCCACACCCTGCACATTGCCACTCTAGCTAAAACTGAAGCATGGAAGTTTTATAGTACAACCAACGTGATGGATGGCTCCTTTCACAACACACTCGGGAAGTTCTGTATGAACCAGCGGAAGAAATGAGGTGGAGACTAAAGAGAGGGTGGCCAGCAGGGGTCCTGGGAGGGGTCCAATTTGTGAAAAGGGAGAAGTCAGGAGAATCACATGAAAATTCCTTGTACCCTAACTGCCACTGTTTTTATGACAATCGTGTTAAATAACCTCAGATTATTTAAAGTTTAAAGCATCAAGAAAGGAATCTGGAAGACTCCCTTCAGAATCGTAACAGGGGCAGTTTTACAAAGCCATTTGCTTCCAGTTGCTTGTCGTTCCCTGTCTGCTACAGCAAAACCAAGTTTGAAAGGGACAAAAACCAGAAAAAAAGGCTGAATTAAAGAGAAGTGGGCCAGGAGTCATAAGTGGCCTGTGAAATCACTAGAATTTAACTGGAGTTCACTAAGCTATGGAGAATATACATGGGTGTGTTGGTCTTTTTTAAATATCAAATAATCTGTCTGCAGGCCGCCCCCAAACACAAACGTGTGCTTAATCAACTTACACAATGAAGTAGCCCCACACACTGGGGTTTTCAAATACTTCCCTTAAGAATGCATACCCACATTCCGACTTCACCCCAAAATTAATGCTCTAAATCTCTGCAGCAGCGAGGCGCGAGGACACGCGCGGGCGCGCACACAGTGAACTTGCTGTGAATCCAGCCCTTGTTGCTTCAAGACCCCGAAGAAAAGAAGAAACGCCGCGATAGGCTCTTCTCTTCAGGCCCGAAGAGAAGATTCGAAAAGAAGCAAATGGAGTCCAGGATGAAGGCAGAAGACGAGACGAGGGGTACGGGAGAGTACAACCGGGGACCCTCTCAGGGGGGACTCGCCTCCTCCTTGGAAAATGTCATCTCCGTCCCCTCGCCTCTGGCCCAAGATCACCCCTTTCCAAAGCGCCAAAGAGTTGCCAACTCCTCTCCCCAGGCGTCCCCCAACCTCCTCACCTCATCAGCGCTCAGCTCCTCCATCGCTTTCCTCTTAATGGTGAAAGGCGTTAGGGAGCGATCCTTCTGTGCTGTGAGACCAAGGCGCGAGGCGGGTGGAAGGTGTCGGTCGGGCTGCCGGGTCCCCCGAATGGGGGAGGCTTCAGAATTGCATAGTCAGAGGTGAACAAATAAGAACACACGAGGCACTGGACCGCCTGGGCGCCGGTCACCCC